ACGATTTTACACAGGGGAGTCATGTTCTGTGATCTTCCGGTTCACATGCAGCCGTGCTGTACATCTGTCCTGCGTGTGGCATTCAAGTGCTTCACAATCTGACCCTCATCGGCTTCACACCATAGGTGCACAATCAATGCTTATTCAAATGCCCATGGGAAAGCTTCCTGGGCCTTCCCATCCTTTCCGTACTTTATGACATGCCTTCCTCCCGCCCCTGCCTGGCTAACTCCCTCCCATCCTCCCAGGTCCCACCGACATGCCTCTCTGTACGAGGGGTCTCTGTCTCCTCCGGACAGAATAGGCAGGTCTCGCTCTGCGGCCCCCTGCGTCTTCCTCCTGTCCCCTCGTGTGCCCTAGTGTATGTGGCAATGATGTGTCTATGAAACGGGCCGTCCAGCTCAACCTGGATCGCTGACGGTGGTCCTGGCCTCGTGTCTTCTTCCGTTTGCTGTCTCCAGCATCTAGGATGGCCTCTGCCACCCAACGGATGTTTAGCAGGCACTGGCTGAAGGAGTGAATGAGTGAGAGAATGAATGAGTGAATGAGTGAAAAGTGTTTGCACTTTTGCTCTTAGGAACTGCCAGGGAAGGCTGCAGAAAGGATGGGAGCCTATCTCAGTGTCCTGCGACAGACCTACAGAGCCGTGAGTCTCCATGGGAATTGGAGATGTCATCCCAGCATGCCGGGACGAGGTAAAAACCTGTTTGGAACATGATGACATTAAGGTTCTAAACGGGAAGGTCACACAGAAATAGCATAGTCATGAAGTTGGCCACGATGTCGAGACGGGTCCCCATGCATTTCAGGGGTCATTCGTCATCGGGACCCGATGTAACCTCTGTTTCTGGTGACGCGTAATGCACTTTTTATGTCTTTTTTGTTTTTAAGATTGTATTTCTTTTTAGAGAGAGGGGAAGGGAGGGAGAAAGAGAGGGAGAGAAACATCACTGTGTGGTTGCCTTTTGTGCGCCCCCTACTGGGGACTGGGCCTGAACCCAGGCATGTGCCCTGACTGGGAATCGAACCGGCAAGCCCTTTGCTTCCCAGTCCGGCGCTTGATCCACTGAGCCACGCCAGCCAGGGTCACTTTTTACTCCTTACCAAAATGAAGATGATCCCATAAAATTGCATAGCACTGTGTAGTTTATGAAGTCCTGCTTAAAAACAACAACAAAGCAGGGTGGTCTGTGGTTTGCCAAGATCGCCGGGCTCTTCAACCAGGGCTGCACGCAAGTCGCCCGGCTCTCCGTTCAGTGCCCTTTCCAGGATGTGATCTCTGCCTGCAAACCTCAGACATCACAATAAACAGTGGTTAAATATTGATTCTAGGCTCACTCATAGAAAGCACTGCCTTTCTAATCAATATCGCCGCTTCCTACTTCTAAGAATCGTCTGACGGACGCCTGGAAGCAGACGTGTCGAAGCTTGACGGAGGAGAGGCGATAAGACCTCAGGCAAGCCCAGGGAGGAGCCAGACGCTCTGTGTGCGCACCCCCCCGGCGTGTCAGTGACGCTGCAGGTGGAACGCCTGGTGTTGCGGGGCACTTAAACGTGTGAGTGTAGACAAAATAAGGGAATCTGTAATGCACAGTGTTACATTTAAAAAATCCTCATAGAGTGTTTCTGCATTTAGCCGTATTTCCATAGTATGACTGCTTAAAATTTAAATATGTTTTCTAAATCATTAAATCTACTCCTTCATGCTTTCATTGAATAGAGAATGAGTGCCACCCTGGCCAGTGTGGCTCAGTTGGTTAGGGTGTTGTCCTGTCACCAAAGGGCTGTGGGTTCAATCCCCAGTCAGGGCACACAGTTAGGTCGCTGGTTCAATTCCCGGTCCACCTGTGGGCAAGTGGGAACCCCAGCCTGGACGGGGATGATCCCTAGTCTGGGCGTCGATCCCTGGATGGGGTGCATATGGGAGACAACCAATCGATGTTTCCCTCTCACCTCAATGTTTCTGTCTCTCCTGTCCCTCTCTCTCTCTCTCAACAGTTAAAAAAACATCCTCACGTGAGGACAAAAAAAAAATAAAAATAAAGAACGAATGGCTACCAGGTGCTGGGCACAGGGTTCCCCACAATACAGCGGTAAACAAAAGCCCCTAACCTCTCAAACTTTACAGACCTACGGGGTAGGAGAGAAGGATGACAGCCAAACAATAAGTCACCTGTTATATTAGGTGACAGCTGGTGTGAAGAAGAATGAGGTTAGGAAGGAAGCTGAGGGATGCCAGGGGTCAGCGGGGCCGGGCATCGAGGTGTTGGGGAAGCTGGCATGGGAGTGAAGACCTGGGGACCGAGGAATGAACTGTGAGGATATCTTGGGGGAAATGTCAACCATTTGAGCCAACACATATCATTTTTTCGTTTAGAGAGGGAAGGGAGGGAGAAAGAAAGAGAGAGAAACATCCATGTGCGGTTGCTGGGGGTCATGGCCTGCAACCCAGGCATGTGCCCTGACTGGGAATCGAACCTGTGACACTTTGGTTTGCAGCCTACACTCAATCCACTGAGCTACGCCAGCCAGGGCCAAACACATATCATTTTAAACAGAAAAATTTCCCAGATAGCTTCTGTACACTTCACTGCCGTGAGAGAGAGGTTCCGGCAGGCGGGCCAGCATTTTCTTGGTCATCTGGGCACCTCTGTGACGACCGGCGCTGGACCACAGCACCCACGCAGGGGGAGACCAGTGAAGTCAGAGGACCCTCGGCCCCTCCGCCCAGCCGCCCAGATCTGTTTCTCTTTAGCAGGGATTCTGTGTCACCCTGTCAGCGCTTGCCGCCCGCTGACTCAGGCAGTGTCACTTCTCGTCTGATGCCTCTGACGGTGTCATTGTTTTGTTAGGACTGGGTCCGGAACAAAAAGACTCGAGCGACAGCCCCACCTTCAGTGCCCGGGCTTTGCGCTGTGATGCCCGGTCTGCCCACTGGGCGGGGGTGGGGCTGGGGGTGCGCTGTGCTTGTTTCCTCACCCGCCATTTCCTTCCTGACTGTTTGAATGGCGGATGAGTGATCCCCTAATTTGGGAAACACTGCTCGTTAACTCTTCCTTTTCTTCCCTTTTAGGGCTCAGGGACATTTTTCTTTCTGATTTCAACAGATTTTCTCACCTCGTGGCCAGTTAGAGCACACGTTCCCCCAGTATGGCTGAGACAGACTCAGAGGGAGGGATGGCTGCGGAGAAGATTCCCAAGATGGGACCCGAGGGGCTCCCCGTCGCGGGGAGGGGACCCAGAAACACAGAGGGCTGGGACTGTCTTTAGTGTTTCCACCAGTGTGCCGCTCACACGCCGCCCAACCCTGGCCCGGGGTGGGGGTGGGGGGGTGGCCGCCCTTACACCGGACCATCGGAAGGACCAGAAGGAGAATCCCCGCAGTAGAAGGTCATGAAAAGCGTCGTGAGAACACGGAGTCACAAATAATAAATCCTCGGGACAGGATTTGGGGAGGGTCTGCAGAAGACGTGGCCTTTCAAGGACAGCTTTGAAAGCCGAACGGGCTTTTCGTAGGTAAACATAAGGGGAAGGCTTCCCAGGCTGAGGGAGCCGCATGGACGCAGCCCGGAGAGGGAAAACACATCGTTCATGGATGAAAAAGAAGTGGGAGGATATTTAGTATTATTTAACTTTTCAAGTGCTTCTGAACTGATACCTAGGGTCCTTCAGGTAATGTTGTTGCCTAAGACTCTGTCTTCCTGTTCTTTTTCCAAGCTCGCATTTCCGTAACATTCACGCACGCGGATCATCCGCTGCCAACGAATGATTCAGTGGCCCTGGACCTTCGGGGGTGCAGAGGAGCGGTGGGAAGTGAGGCCGGGCGCAGGAGCCCAGACGGAGGCGGCCCTCCCCGAACACCAGCAGCTGTGGGTTTCAACCCCGCGAGCAGTGCTCCTCGGAGCGTGCTGCTGGGGGTTGCAGTTCCGAGACACATTGCTTGGAGTCACCGAACAAACAAACAAAAGTCCTTTGGTGGAATACGAGTCTATTTCTTGGAAATACACCGGGTTTGATAAGCCGGAATGAGTCCCTCGCCTCTTGGGACCTCTCGGAGCTCTGGGGCCCTGCAGTGCGGAGGGGCACAGAGCAGGCCGCATTCTCCAAACTCGAGTGACAAGGTCTGGTTTCTGAGGAGCATCTCACAGAGCAGGTGTCGCCTGGGGACCGCCCCCCCATGGCTCAGCGGGGTGGGGGGGGGTAGGCTGCCCACGTGTCCGAGCTGGAGGATGGCACCACAGACGACAGAGGAGCATCTCAGCATGACTGCCGCCCCAGCTAGCAGCGTGCAGCTCAGCGGTCGGTCGGGGCCGCCCCGCGGAACAGCCAGTGGAGGGGACGAGCCCTGCCGCCACCAGTGGCGGCCAGGCCGGCTCATGTGGAGGTGGCCCTTTCCCAGAGGCCCAGTGTGGCTGCAGGCTGGCGCCGACTCCCCATCTCCGGCCAAAGCCACACAGAGAGCCGGAGCCCAGCGACTGCCTCGGCTCCCCAGCCCCTGTGCTCCGAGAGGCCGTGCAGGAGACAGGGGTCAAGCCAGCCCGGATCGAGGGTGTGCGTGTTCTCCTGTGCCTTTCCAGGAATGTTGCGCTGGACAGAGTGGGAGAGGGCAGCGAAACGGGAGCTGCAGGCCCTGCCCCGGGGAAGGAAAGGCTTCTAGAACCCCCCATCTCGTCTAAGTCCTTTACGTGACATACAGGGAAACTGAGGCCCGAGAATGAAGGGACATGTCTAGACTCACACAGCTCACCACATTTCAAACAACTCCATATGTCTTGCACTAGTTTAGTATTGTGATTCCTACTGACAATTTTTATAGTTTATTCCAAGTGTTTTGACTCAATACCTAGGATCCTTCTTGCTCAAGGCCCATTAAAAATTATTTTTTCTGGATTTACATTTTGGCAATAAATTTTTTTAAAAAATCACTTTCTTTCGATGATCTTGCCATTGACTTTCCTGCAAATAAACAGATTTTTACATGTAAGCAGGGTCATGACAGGCACAAGTTCTTTTGCCAAGATTTGAACAGCACCCAAAATATCTCTTACCACATGGTTTCCTCACCCAGGACGTCTCCCCTCATCCCTAATCTGACAAGTGACCTCCAGCGAAAGGAATCACAAGAGGGACGGGGCAGCTGCCCTCGGAGATGAAGACAGGGATGGCGCCTCCGTGGGCGGAGCAGAGAGAGGCAGCCATCCTCCCTTCTCCTGCTGAGTCCGGGGCCCGGGGCACGGCCGTCTCCTCCTTGCACAGTGCTCGTCCCTCAACCTGACGTTCAGGGCCCTCGAGTCCCCGTGGGCAACTTCTTTTCCAGTGAGAGGCTTGTTCCTGTTCGCCAGGATCGACTGACCTCTCGTCCCCCTGGAATGTCCATCTGCGGTCCCAGTGCTTACCAGCTCTGCCCTGGGCGCTTCCCTGAGTTCTCCAGCTCAGACTGTAGTTTCTCTGGAACACTTCATGCTTGTCCAGGCTGGGGGCCTCTTGGAGGTCAACTCCAGCTCTTTTGCCTTCTAGGAGAAAGAGTAGAGGCACGGAATGGGAAAAGGAATCGCCTGAGATCACACAATGGACACGAGGAAAAACTGGGGCTGGGTTTCCCTGATTCTTGACCCGTGACCCTTTTGTGATATCAGCACAGTTAATTCTATCTATTACATTCACTGACCACTGAATAAAAATTATAATAACCAATATTTTTGTGCCTCATACATTAACATCTTGTCGTTAATCCTCACAGGTATCCATCCACCCACCCATCCGCTCATTTGTTCCAACAGCCCATATTTACTGAGGGCCCGTGTTCCAGTACAGTGCTGGACCCTAAGTGTTGTTATTTCCATTTCATAGTGGAAGAAGCTGACACTGAGGAGTGCCGTGACTTGTGCTAATTTAGTGAGTAAGTTAGGTCTCAGCAGGAACCCGAACTGACTCAGGCAGTCCCCACGAAGGCACTCTTGGCAGAGGTGTGGGCAGAACTAAGGAAGACAAGGCCTGGTGAGGCACCCAGTGGTCAGCAGCAGCGCCGATCTCGGGCCACCAGGGCAAAGGGAAGACCCAGTGTCCCTGGAGCCCAGTGAGAATGGAATGCAGCCAGGGGGGCGGGGAGAGGTAGGTTCTGGGTGCAGAGCTGCTGCTGGGGGATGAGCCAGGGAGAAGGGGCAGAAACTCTGTCCTCAACCCCCGGTCTGTTTCCAGGGACTCCCTTTGGCTGAGCCCAACCAGAAGACAGAGGGCAAGGGGGCCCTGGGAGGTGGTCCATAGAAGTCAGCCCCTGGGACACAGAGCAGGGTGGACGATGAACGCAGAACAAGCAGAAGTAGCCAGCCCGATGCCCAGCTGCACAGTGGGTGAGCTGGACTGGGATGCCAACGCCACCTTCAGACTCCCAGTCCTGTGCCTTCTTCTGGACCATGCAGCTTGCTTGCATTTATGGCTTCATGTTCATTCATTTAGTCGGCCCATCTTTCAGGCGGTAAGGAAGCTGAGCACTTGCTCCTCGCCGGGCCCCAGGGATATGCTTATTTCCCTCACCAAAGCAGAAGATCCATGGACCCGACTTCCTTATCTCTGAGTGCCCCGGTCACAGTCTGTGATGCGTCGTGGGCACCCACCCGTTCTGCTGGTGAGGAGAGGGCACCGCACGGGACCGCTGTGAGCTGCACTAACAGAGGCTGCCCCAGAGTGGGCCCTTGGAGCCGTTCCCATTCTTTGAGGCTGGGAGGGTGTGTGGATGCACTGATGCCCAACTCGCTTTCATGTCGTCTTGGGACGAGCATGTGGACCACACAGGGTCTGGCGGAAGTAATGTGTGCTTGAGTGTGGTTGGTAGGGTGCATGGATGTCTCGCATGAGATGGACAGCAATGTGAACATTTCGCCTACAATGTCACGTGATGTGCTTGAGTGTGATATTCTCGTGTTCCAAAATTACATGCTTATGATTTTGTAATAAAATTTTTTAAGATTTTATTTATTTTTAGAGAGGGAAGGGAGGGAGAAAGAGAGAGAGAGAGGAACATCAATGTGCGGTTGCTGGGGGCCATGGCCTGCAACCCAGGCACGTGCCCTGGCTGGGAATTGAACCTGTGACACTTTGGTTCACAGCCCGCGCTCAATCCACTGAGCTACGCCAGCCAGGGCTATAAGAGATTTTTATGTAATAAAAAAGGGATGTTGTTTGTGCCGAAGCCCGTATTTGAAGGCTGATGCCCTGATGCTCTGGGAATCTCTACCATGCCCAGCAGCAAAGTTGTGATACTGGTGTTTCTCCTCCAGAGGGTTTCCACTCCTCTGGGCTCCTCCTCGCTCTCAGCGCTCAGCTCCGCTGCAAAGCCTCAGCACCAGCTCTCTGAGGGGTGTGGCGGGGCAGATGAAAGAGGAGCTGGCCCCTGTCCTTCGGACTCGTGGCTCGCATCTTCTCGGCATCGGGTGATGGAGTGACGTCTGTCAAAGTCTGCGTGGCTTTCCCGTGCGCATCCTGCTCAGCCACAGCGAACAATGACTGCATGCAGACAGCCTGGCCCTGTTCAAACACTGCCCGTGAGAATGTCAACAAGAAACAGGCAAGAGATGGAAAGGCTTGAAGGATACGGTCACTGGCGTTCAGCTTCTGCTGGCTGCCATGATATGTCTATCTATCATCTATCTGCCCATTTTATGTAATATATATTTTTTTTCTGGAAAAGTGCAAAAGAATCACAAAGGAATATCCCACCACTTCTGCTTTTTTTCAAACTCATCCATTTTTATCTACCTTAAAATACATGTGCAGCCTTTAGATGCAGTAGTCAGTCTTTGCCACTTGACTGGTGAAGCCCACAAAGCTTAGAGGTCACCTTGGACATCTCCCTCTCTCGTGCCCAGAACGGAAGCAGGGCTTAAGAGAAAAGACTCTGGATGTGTGCCAAGAGTCAGGCTTGCATAGCACCTCACATACATTTTCTTGCTTTAACAAGAATCAACTCTGTGGATCAGCTCTTATGGGTGAGGAACTGGAGTTCAGCGAGGTAGTGTCTTGCCCAGGGTCTGGCCCTGAGATGGTGGTGCCGAAGCCTGAATCCAGTTCTCATGTGTCCAACTTCTGTATTTTCCACTGGGATCTGCTCCTTCAGATAAAGGGAGGGAGCGGGGGGAATGCTGATCTCTTCAGCGGTGATCAGGACAAGAGTCTCTTTGACCAGGTGATGTCAGATTCGCCTGCTTCTAAGGATTACTACCAAAAGTACTCAGAAAAAATGGCTGCAAACAAACTCTGCAAGTACAAGTGTTGTTGTGGACGGGTAGAATAAAACTCTTGAAACTCGATGAGGCTAAATCGCAGTGTTTTGATGTCACAAGTGTTTCCCGTCCGCCAGTGGCAGACCCGCACCTTTCCTGGGTGGTACCACTCCTGACCAACCACACCGCAGACGGCTTAACTACCTACCTGTCTGTTAGGAAATTCCCTTACTTGTTTTTTCCCTCTTGACCTCAGCCTAGGCCATCCTCTTCTCCTTGGCGCCCAGTTCCCCCAGTTCTATTCATCCTTTTCGATGTCACCAGAAGTATTACTTTCTTGGAAACGTTCCGTGATCCCCACCTGGGCTAAGCTCCCATTATAATTCTCTTAGCACCTTACAGATACCTTTGTAGCACTCGCCACATTTGTAATTGCTCACCTACATGATTATTTGTGTCATATCTGCCCCCCTCCCCGATTAGATCATAAGCCCAGTAAGGGCCCACAGGGTTTACTTCGCTGCTGTCTGCTGCTGTTACCAGCACACAGATACCTTTGCTGGATGAATGAATGAAGTAAAAGGAACAGTGCCCGGAACCTTGCCAGCTTCTGACAGAGGAGAATGAACCACTTGTCTAATCTGCCTAATGCTATGTAAGCCTTCTCTTATTTGTTCCCCACGAAAACCCTGAGAGAGAAATCGAAGCTCAGAGAGGTGCGTTAATTTTCCTGAGGCCACACAGCTAGGGAGGCACAGAGTTAGGCTGGAAACGAGGTTCCTGGGATGCTTCTGCAAGTGCCCTCATCACAACCATGCACTGCCTGTCCAAAGGTGGGGAGCACTCCGACCAGCCTGGGCTTGGACACGCCGCAGGCCCGCCTCCTCTGTGTCTGCCGCACGAAGGCCCGGACTTCACTGGGAGGTCGAGGCAGTGAGTGGAAGAGTACAAGGGTGACCCTCGTCATCAAAGGGCCGCTCTGAAGGCCAGGACGTTTCAAGTGACTTCTCATGTCGCAATAAGGCGGGCGGTCGCGGAAACGAAGGGTTAGCCCTGCGTTCTAGTGACCGACCACTGTAACCGCAGCTTTCTTCTCTGCGTGCTCCGTAAGGTCTGCACGACTTCTGATCACAAACCACCTCATTACAGACGGTGGACTGCGGGCTACGAAAACGTCCCCCAAACTGGCCCCTTTCAACTCCCCTTTGCCACACTGCTGCTGGGTCCCACGTCTCACCCCCGTCGTGCCTCTGCTTGCTTGGAGGCACCCACCACGCAGAGCAACAGAATCAGAGGATCCAGTGAGGGTTTTTGAGCAGAGAACGCGTCCCGGGGCCAGTTCCATCCCACCAATGGGGAAAATGAGGCTGCCGGATATGGCATCAAGGCCTTCCGCCAAACCAGCAGGGCCAGAATCAGAGCTGAACTTTCCAGGGTCCCAAACATTTCCTGGGACCACTCTTCTCAGATGTGTATATGAAGGAAGCCTCCCCCCCGCAAAAAAAACCCCTACAGAATTATCTTCTGGAGAATCGGGTCCTTGTAGTACATACAGACTTCCCCAGCTAGGGGAGTATTCTAGGAACCCATCTGCATCAGTGTTCCAGCTGGTGGTGTTGTGAGAGGCTGCACCCCGTGAACTTTTCGGAAGACTCTTTCAACACGTGTGCCCGTTTCATGAAGGGTGATTTATGGGTGCACCAGCCCACACCACTGAGTGTTCAGCGGTTTTGGACCAGAAACCGGAAGACCACCCCCCGCCCCGGCATCCCACCCTCCTTATGCACCCGATCTCGCCCAGAACAACTTTGTTTTGTTTTGTTTCGTTTCCCTGGGTGACAAAAGTCCTCAAAGAGAAAGGTTTTGCCAATGTGGAAGAAGTGAAACAAACAAACAAACAAAAAACGGCAGAAGCACTAAAAGGCATAAAAATCGATGAGTTTGAAAACTGTTCTGAGCAGTGGAAAAAATGTCTCCGTAGGCTTCTTGCATCAGCTGGAGGGTGCTTTGAAAGTGTCTGATGTTTAAACATGTAAGAATAAACACAGTTTTTTATCAATAAATTCCAGTTTTGGGGTCCTCCCTCCCATGTACATATTTTTTGGAGGGACTTACCATTTGCTTCCAAGTAGACTTTTGAGCTGTGACCAGCGCTTTCTCCTCTGAGAACCTTTCATAGGATACTGGTGAATAATTTATCTTGGACGCACCCAGTATCTTTTCATCTGGAGATCTTAAGGAGCCTTAATGACAACCAAGCTTCATTATTTCTGTTGTGTGTATGAGGAAACTGA